CACCCTCACCCCCTCACAGGTGTGTCCACACCACACACACCCTCACCCCTTGTCACAGATGCAGCCCTGTGTCTACACTGCACACGAGCTTGGAGTCTGTCTCCCTTCCCTCGGGGTACTTCCTCCTCCCACAAAGCTGGTTCTGAGAGCACCACTTCAGTCCTGTGTGCGTGCGGGACGGTGCAGACATTTCCCTCGCCCTGAGCCTGTGAAGCGGAGTCACGGAGACGAGGGGATAGCACCGTTGGGTGTCTCTGTGTGAGGCAGGCCACGCTGTTGCAGGACGTTTGTTTCCCGGATGCCGTGCTAGTTCCTTTAAAACAGTTTGGTGCTCATTTTACAGACTGTGGAAGACAGAGATGAATCGTAGTTACACGTTCCTGGATGGTCCGTGTGAACGTTCTGAGTAACTGAATGACCAGAACAATTGGACTAGATGTGGTTTAAAGCGTTCATATGCTTGTAGTTCTTCGTAAAACGAGGATATTTCAAAATTCTTTCTCAAGATGTCCAGCGGACTTACATGTCGTTCCCCGTATGTCTGTATGTGTTGAATGGCATTGGATGGTGAGATGTGACACCGATAGCTTTCGTTTGACCTGTCCTGTGGCCTCTTGGCTTGTGGACAGATGATTTACATGGTCGCATATCTGATGGGATTTTACGCGAGCGGCCGTGTGGTTGGGTGTTTCGTAACCAGTGGCCCGCTCGGTGCAGAAGCAGGTGCGTGCGGTGGTTTATGAGAGAAGTGGGCATCGCGCGCAGGCGGGCTGACCGCGGGTCCCAGGGCAGTATCTTGTGTCCGTGTGCAGGACGTGGTGAACACGCACCCCGGGCTGGCCTTCCTGAAGGAGGCGTCGGAGTTCCACTCCCGCTACATCACCACCGTGAGTACCCAGCGCGGCCGGTGGCCTCCCTGCCTCCCGTGGGCACCTGGGCTCCAGTCCCGACCATAGAGGAGTGCGAGGATCGCCCTCGCAGATCCTGGCTCCTCCCCCGTGAATGAGGTCTCAGTAGTTGCTGCTCTGTGGGGCTCCTGCGAGGGCTCGGTGGGAGGTGGGCGCCTCGTACCCGGGCAGGAAGCACGCGAGCTCTGCGAGAGCGGTCGGTTCTGGTCAGCTGTCCAGCACTCAGACTCCAGCCCCAGTCGGGTGCACTCAGGTTCACGTTCCAAAGTCCCCTGTGTTCACCCTCCCCCAGCAGGAAAGGGTGGGCCTTGGGCTGCTCCCCTGAGACAGCGTCTTAGCTTTAGGAGAGCGGATGCGCCCCGTCCTTGAAGCATGGCATTCCCGCAGCATCGTGACCTGGGTGCCGGCCAGCCCCGGGATCAGTGGACGGCACGGCCCCAGCCCTGCCCCTCACCCTCCAACACTCTCAGAGAGCAGCCTGAGGAGGACGGGTCTCTCCCGCCCGCCCTCTCCTCCCCGGGGGCGTCCGTCTCCGCCCCAGCTCCAGACTGAGGGGAAATGGCCTTGGCCCCCACATGTCTGCTCTGAGCACGCCTGCAGGGAGCCGGCGTTGGTCCTGTACATGCAGTGCACGTGCGTGGATTCCGTGTGGGCTGGTGTATGCCACAGCCTCCTCATCAGGGCCATGGTCACCTTCACAGGGGGCGTTAGGAGGAATGATGATCAGGATCGTGTGTTTATACGAAGAACATTGAGTGCTGAACATCAGCAGGGCTTCATGGGGGGTGCTCCTCACATACATCCTGTCCCCACTGTGCAGGGACAGGTGAAGGGATGTTCTAGGAGGAGGACAGGTAAGGGGACATCTTAGGACAGGGACAGGTGAGGCGATGTCCCGGGAGGAGGACAGGTGAGG